ATTTTATATCTCTGGTTAGCATGAAAAAACTAGTATCAGTATTCTTATTTCTAGAATATAAGAAGAAAAACTTCTTATTACCTTTGTACACATAGAAGCATGCTCCCTTTAAAAAAAGTAAACTCAGTTAGCTTTTTTTGTCCGATTATTCTACGGGGTATACAGATTACCCTACCATCAGTGTTCACAATCAGAAATAAAGATGAACTTAAAATGAACTCTTCGGTATGTCTTCATTTTCTACCCTAAAGCAAGTCAGATGATTTGCAGTATCTGTTACACAGGAATTTTTTTTTCAGACATCACCCCCACGATGTTATCCACACACCTCTAGGTTAACATACTAAACCAACTGGGGCTAATTAACTAGTTTGGCTACACAAAATCTTTTCTGCTTTTAATTACATTAACTTAATGTGACTTGAATCCAACAGACCAAAAACAAAACCGCTAATTATATTAAGGGCTTCAAAGATGATTTCAAATTGCTAACCACCAAACTGTCATATAATTTATCTCATTTCCTTTAATATATTTTACATTCGAAATCTGTGTTCTTTACTAGAAATGCTATTTAAAAATACATCAAAACAATGATTAATAGAATACTGATTTAGAATGCTAAAAGAGAAGTATGTTTCAAATAACACAAATAAGATACACATTGGCAACTTCATTCCAATGAGAAATTGTGGAGTACTTAATTTTTACAATTTCCTAAAAGATTAAAGGCTTGAAAATATTCATTTAGGGCTTGATAAGCAATATTGACACTAAGAGTGAAGTTTCTTAGTTTTAGAAATTATTTTTTTCTGAAAAAAACTTGATTCTTTATCACTGTCTTGTTTTCACACTATTTTGCAAAGGAAGTGAGATGAGAGGTTTTGAATTATTGTCTAGTGTATCATCATTAAACAATTCACTACTAACTCTCCTTGGGCAGAATATCTCTTCATAGAAATGCTGTCAATTCCGCCTGGCTCTTTGACCTACAGAATAGACAGCAAGCTGCTGTGGACTAGAGAAGTGGCTTGCATGGCTTCTTAATGACAATGAGATGCAGGTAACCCAGATGGCCGGTCATAGCCCCCAGACATTCTCCCTGGTGAATTCAGCTGCAGGACAGTTTTGGATGGTCCCTAAGGACTCCTTACAACAGAAACATACCAAGAAGAAAAGCCACAACAATAATAGCCTTTATTTCTTTAAAATATTGAGTTAATTTAATAATAACAGCAACAAATAATAATAAACCAGAAAAGATACCTTGTTCAAGTAGGGAGCAGAGAAAGTCAGGAGGTGGAATAATATCCACTACTTTGTAATCTGGCTACAAGAAGGATATCAATTTATATGTTAGGAAATTGAGATTAAAGCATCCATATCTTCTAATGCATACTATCATATCCGTCAAAAACAATTGTGCTTTGCTGCGTTCTAAATTAAGCAAAACATTATGGTAGCATAATTCTATTATACAAATGATAGACAAAGGATTGGATAAGCAATCTGAAAAGTCTCATAGCCACCTAAAAAATATATATAACCAAATAAAAATAATTCGTATGATTCAGATCTTATACAATGTAAAAGAAAATACAAATATTTGTTATTTGGTAATATTTCTTACTCATACCCCCAGGTAGGTAGCACAATAAGAACAGTTTTTTTTTTTTTAAACAAAAGCCATGTCTAGTATTAAATGATTTACTTATTATGGTTTAATATAATATGCAGGTACTTTATATTTCTGAACATACATATAAATGATTTTTTTATTTTTCTCCTTATGACCTAAATTTTTTTTTTTTTTT